CTGTTTTGGTTTGGTTTCAATGCTATAAATTTGGTGGTTTCATTTAGATGATCTCTAAAGCTTCTGGAATGCATATTAAAAGCATGTAAGATGTATGTTAAAATGGTTTTGTGCCCAGGGGTATCTTGTTTCTGAGATGACATGGCTTTTATTGATGGCTCCCCAAAGAGCTAAAAACCATTTTGGGGTCCTGCCCACCTGGCCAATTCTAACAAATCTTAACTGAGTTGCAGATTCTGCTTGGGGTGAAACATTCCTTTGGAGTGTGAAGGGAACAAACTTTTCCCCACCACACAGATGTGTCTGCAGGAAGAAAGCACCTGTGCTCCAAGAGTGTGAAGCATGGATTTATGAATAAGTAGAGGAAAATATATGATGCATATTTGTGAATGAACAATCCATGGAGTTTCTTCTTGGTCCACAATCATAGGAGTGAGGCACAAAATTCAAGTTCGTACCTTCTTGGTCCACTGGGAACTTGGGGAAAGGGTGGGAGATGGGTGTTGACTTTGCACTAGAGCAGTACCAGGAAAATCCAGGCAGGGAGGAGAGGCAGCCCCTGGGGAGGGAGTGGTGTGATTGGATAAAGATTTAATACAAAATGAAAAGAAAGCTCTCCTTTCCCTTTTTGTTCCATTTCCTTCTCACCAAATGGGCAAGAAGGATGTGAGGGTGTAAAGTAGTCCATGCTACCCTTTCAACACAGGGGATTTTTGCGTCTTTCTTTCTGTGGCGACAGAATCTTGGAATCTTAATCTGTGAGGTTCACAGAGTTAGAAGTGTGGTTCTCAAAATGTGTGTTCCCCAGACTTGGCTACCTGCAGCTGACCTCAGATGATCACAAAAGCTCTTCCCAATTTCAGAGGCAGGTGGGGCAAGTGAAAAGATATTTGTGGCTGGCTTGTTTTACACAATGCTGCATCTTTGGTGCTTGCCTTAATTGACATGTCTTCATGTGTAGTTCAAGTGTCTACTGGGTTATGTGGAAGCTTATGGTGACTATGCTTATAAGTTTATAAAGAGGAACTAGTTATAGATGACCTGTACCCTCCCTTGCTTGGGAATACACCGCATGATTCTCTAATGTTCCTGCACTGTAAAGCGTTCTTTCGAATGTGGGCTTGGGGTAGGAGCAACAAAAATACCCCAGAACTCTGGGGAGCTGGAGGAAAGGAGGCAATTTCATTCTCTTTCACTCACAGCCCAGAGCCACAGATGGACAATGGCTGCCATTTTTCATGTTACACAGATCTTTGGAAACCCCACCCATTTTGTGGGTGAAATAAGTGAATTAAGAGAATTAAGAGTTAAATTTCTTCATCATCTCCTACTCCCTTCTTTCTGATCACCCAGTTTCCTTAAAGTCTGAGTGGAACTGTTTATCCCAAATAGTAAAGCGGCTGTTTCTACCTACAACCTTTCCTGGTATAATTAATGTTTAAAACGATCCCATCACAAGGCAGGGGATGGCTTTGCAATGACATAAATTTATCGATGGTGACAATTGCCAGTATCGTTGCAATTCTCTTGACTTTAAAGACACTCAAGGAACAATCATTAAAAAAATACAGTTGTTATGGGTTTTACTTGTCCTCTCACACATTCAGTCTGCTAATATCCTTATTGCTCTTTCCTGCAACCAGCAAGTGTTTACTAAGCACCTTCTGGGTGGCCCTGAGCTCCAAGATGACTTCATGATTTTGCTTTCAAAGAGCTAAACAGGCAGAAAGGGTGAACTGCCTTGCCTGGCCCTCATTTTTTTTCTGGGTGAAGCCAAATTACAAGGTAAAGGTAAAGGTAAAGGCCCTCCCGTTGATCGTCGATTTGCTCGAGCGGGCCCAGTAACGTCTCCATTGGAGACTTTGTTGTTACTGTGTCTGGCATATCGAATACTCTCGGTAGCTTGCCGGGCTCTCCGAGAGGGGCGGAGGAATCGAATTCGGGTCGACCATGTTGGCCGCTTGTAAGGCGAACGCCCTACCCGCTGTGCTATCGCTCCAGCTCCTAAATTACAAAAGCAAGGAAATATCTGGAGGAAGCTTTAGGTGTTACTGAATCAGTCTTTAGGTCTTTGCACAAGAGGCAGCAAAGCTAGTGTCCTCTTGACTTCCCCAGGCATCCCAAGAACTGCCTGCCTCTTGTGTATGGCCACAGAGATGCCATCCGCAGTGGTTGTGTGGCTGCAAAGTCCTGTGCTTCTGAGCACAGTCTGCCTTTCCCAGCGTTTTCATGAGCACCAATTTAGCCACAAGCAGATATACCTCCAGTTTTGTGCCATAATACGCAGTTCCCACTTTTCTAGGACATTCTGACTTCTTCTACTACCTTGTGGCAAATCTTACATCCTAGGGCTATTCATTCTCCTAGTCATACCAAATAAAAGTAAGAAATGCATATATTCATTCCAATCTGCGTCCTGAAAGGAGATGAGTGCGCTTGGGGCCAACCAATGGAATGAATGTTGCTGATTCTCAGTTGATGGAGTTGGAAGGGTCTGGAAACATATCTGCACTGGGCTGTGAGAAGCTTTAGCTGCAGGGCATAGTGGCCATGGCAGAGGATACAAGTGTAGCACTTACCTGGCATTCTGCAAAACTTTTTATGCATTTGTACTCCTTTAGTCCTTTCTCCACACAGAGTGGTAAAGGTAAGGTAAAGGTAAAGGCCCTCCCGTTGATCGTCGATTTGCTCGAGCGAGCCCGTAAGTCTAATAATATTCCCTTTTGAGCCCTGATCACAGATGTCGAGTCTTTTCTGAACTGAGCTCTTCTGGGTTGAGCTCATCTTTGGAGCTGCAACTACTTCTTTCCTTCTTACCTACTCAGGTTGAAGAAAGACAGCCTGTAGGGCCGGAAAGATAGTACAGTGGGTAGGGTTCTTGCCTTGCATGTAGCCCACATGGGTTCATTCCCTGGCACCCCATATGATCCTCTGAACACCACCAGCAGTCTTAAGTGCAGAGCCTGGAGATACTTCAACACTACCAGGTGTAACCCAAAAGCTGAGAGAGAGAGAGAGAGAGAGAGAGAGAGAGAGAGAGAGAGAGAGAGAGAGAGAGAGGCAGCCCAAATTGCCCTTGTATGAATCCTGATTAATCTACTAGTCATGTGACCTTGACCAAAACACTCTCTTATTGTGCCTCAGTTTCCTCATCTGTAAATTTGGCACTGTCACAGCAGCATCAAGGATTTACAGATTAGGATTTTTACAGATTAGGATTCACCTACAATTTAATGAGGAGTCAGTATGTACCCAGAAGTGTTCTTTTTGTTTTTTCTTTCTTTTACATCTTGGACACTCTTGACAGCTCCGTGAGAGAGAGAGGGTTAAGTTTTGTTAAAATGACTTTGGTGCCCATCTTCCCCAGCAGATGGAGATAGTGGCTTATACATCTGCCTGTGCTATTTACTTTGCATCTCAAGGCCCTGGAAGAGTGCCTAATTAACACACAATGGGCACTCCACAATGGGCACTAGAAATGTAAGTGGTTGCATTCTACCCTCAGTTATTTACATGGGAATAATAAACTAATTGTAAGGAATTCTTCTTTTAAATAATCTCCATGTTTTTCTCATTATGGATATTTACTGTCAAATTTTTAGAAAGCACTAACAGCACAAAGCAGGAAGTGAAACCTGCCACCTCTCCCAGCCTCTGAGAGAATTGCAGCACTGTCTCTTAGGGACACTCGACTTGTCAATGGCAAAACTGAAAACCAAGGTCAAGATTTGTGGCCCAAGTTAATAACCTTGCTTAAGACAGCTGCTCTTCCTTTCCTCCTACTTCAGAGGCACAAATGAGGCTGGCATTTAAGACGGGCTGGGAGAGTTGAAATTTGAAAATGAAATTTACTGTACATAAAACATTATAATGCATGAAACTGACATTTCAATATTTCCCTCAGTTTGATATTTTTGGGCCTTTGTTCTTCCTTTTCTATCATTTTTTAAAAATTCTTGCTTCCCCCTCCAAGTCTCTTCCCTTTGATGATCTTTGTTTGCTACCCAAGAGGCAGCTTTTGGTTGTGTAGCGCCCACACTCTTGGTTGTGGGCTTGATCAGGCAGATTAGACTTGTGGTGGCACTGGGGACCACAACATCGGTCTACTTGGCAGTGTGGAGTGGAACTGGGGATCCAACTCAGAGCCTCATGCTGCAAGGTCTGAACTTCCTGGCACCCCATCAATTTTTCGGGTAATCCTGCTTAAGAAGCAGCATAGTGAGATAAGGTGAAAAGAGGATAATTTTTTGTTTTGTTTTGAGGTCATACCTGGGAAATGCTCGGGGATTACTACTGACTCTACACAGGAGAATTCTTCCTGGCAGTGCTTGGGGAAGCAGATGGGATGCCAGGGATTAAACTTGGGTCCACTGTGTGCAAGGCAAGCGTGCTATCTACTGCATTATCTCACCAGCCTCCTGAAAGAGAACAATTTTTAAGTCAGATAAACATGCGTTTGACTCCTGACTGAACCACCAGATTCATTTCCAGGGGCTGGCTCCAAGATCTTCCTCACACCTGATTTATTCTGTAAAATAGACATAACAAGAAGTATTTGTCAAGTTTAAAGATGCACAATGGTAAGATCCCTTGAGTGTGATTCATGATTCTTGTTAATATGAACTTGGATACCCCACAGTTAGCCAAATAGCAACCAGATCAGATTATTTTCAAATAGTTTTCCCCCAATGCCCACAGTCCTTCACTATCTTTCTCATGAAACTTAGCATTCATTTCATGATTACCTATCTTTAGTAGCATGCCCCACAGTCATTTTCTTAGAAACTGAGTTGTTCCTCCTGAAGAATCTCTTTTTTAGAAGAAAGAGAAAGTTAGCAAATTTAGAAGGGTATGAGAGCAGTTTTCATTTAAGAGTAGATCATTGTTTTCATTACCTTATCATTGATGGTTTCCATTTTCCTTTATCAGAGTTGCCTCTCAGTCGATTCTCATTCCGACCTGAATACTCTTGTTTGCTTGCAAGATGAAAGGAGACAGCCATGAATGAGCCACTCATGGATTGGACGAATGTTTCTGATTTCCCCAATGTCACAGCTGCTTTTAGAAATTGCAATGATGAAAAAATCCCACTCAAGAGTCACTACCTCCCCCTTCTATATAGCCTCATCTTCCTGGTGGGCTTTCCTGGGAATGCGGTAGCCATTTCCACCTATGTCTTTAGAATGCGTCCCTGGAAGAACAGCACCATCATCCTACTGAATCTGGCCTGCACAGATCTGCTATATCTGACTAGCCTTCCGTTCCTGATACATTATTATGCAGGTGGTGAGCACTGGATCTTTGGGGAGTTCATGTGCAAGTTCATCCGCTTTGGCTTCCACTTCAACCTGTACAGCAGCATCCTCTTCCTCACCTGTTTCAGCATCTTCCGTTACTTTGTGATCATTCATCCCATGGCCTGCTTTTCCATTCACAGGACGCAGTGGGCAGTGGTGGCCTGTGTGGGGGTATGGGTGATCTCCCTGGTGGCCGTCATTCCCATGAACTTCCTCATCACATCCACCACCAGGACCAATCGATCTGCCTGTCTGGATCTTACCAGCTCGAATGACCTTCTCACCATCAAGTGGTACAATCTGATTTTGACCACCATCACGTTCTGCTTCCCCCTGGTGATAGTGACACTTTGCTACGCAATGATTATCTACACCTTAACCCAAGGACCTCAGACTCACAATTGCCTTAAGCAGAAAGCTCGAAGGCTCACCATCCTCCTCCTCCTTGTGTTTTATATATGTTTTTTACCTTTCCATATCTTGCGGGTCATTCGAATTGAATCTCGCCTGCTCTCCATCAGCTGCTCCATTGAGAATCAGATCCATGAAGCTTACATTGTTTCTAGACCCTTAGCTGCCCTCAACACCTTCGGAAACCTGTTACTCTATGTGATCGTAGGTGATAACTTTAAGCAGGCCGTCTGCTCAATGGTCAGATGCAGAGCAACTGGGAACTTAGAGCCAGCAAAGAAGATGAGTTGCTCAAACAACCCTTGACATGGTAGATACGTCCAATTGAGAAGGGAGGTTTGCTGGTACTTTTCCTACAACTTCTGAAAAGTCCCAGATATCTCCCTCAATGGAACTCTAAGTAAATATCGTGTACTTGGGTAATTGTGCCAACGTCAGGGAGGGAGGGGAACAGAAAGTTTTTGGAATCCTCTTAGTGAGATTCTCTCTTGTGTCCAGGTAAGGATTAAAATAAATCCAGGAAAGGATTAAAATGAATTCGGGAAGGATTAAAATGAATCCAGGAATGGATTAAAATGTTGAGTTTCAGCAATTGGAACTCAAGACCATCATGAAGAAATAATAATCACACCAAAATATTATGAAGATGGAAGCTTATACACTTGACTTTGACCTCTCAGTAAATTAGTGTCAGAGCAGCAGAAGAAAAGCACTTTTTTCTTTATAATTTCATGCTCCCTCCTACTGAACCTACTGGATCCCAGACTATCTAAGGCATTAATTCTGTTCCTTTCTCATACTCATATCTTGAAAACCTTTTTGATAAATTTTGAGATGAATAAGCTGTGTTTTTCACTAGGCTTTCATTAGTTGGATAGATTAAAGCAAGCCAATCAGATGCAAATGAGACCATCAATCTCAATGCAAAGACCCTAAAATTAATACCTACAATATATTTGAAACATTGTCTTTATTGTAGATCATTTTAAAGCTATTATTGAATTTATTAAAAACTATCAAGTTAGATTAGTAATAGCAATATGTCATGGGGAAGAAGAAGCCACGTATTTGGGAGGGAGGGAAACAGATATACTTTTAAACATTCATATATTATATTGGGGATTAAAATAATCTAATATAGTTTTGAGTACTGAAGGAAAATCTCCCAAGAAATACTAATCCTCTTTAAATAGCTTTTTCTTCTGTAACTCATAAAGGCATGATATCTATTGTAACAGCTAAAGCTATTTTTAAATTGCATGTGTGCTTAATTATCACTAAGTGTAAATATTTGAGAAAATGCCTAGTCTGGATATTTAAAAGCCTAGTAAATGTGTTATACAATTAATAAACTAATTTAAAAATCACTGACTATGATGGTAATGTTTTCCAGTGAAAATGCAGCTTTATCACTGTTGTATTTACATGAAATTTATGCACTCCCAATTTAGAGACCAGAAATAAATTTAAGAATTAATTAGAGAATAAGCCTGGGATAGAGAATTTAAACAGAGGAAAGGTACCATGGAAACTCCTCATGATTTTCAGGTTCTTCCTCTGAGTCTGAGGTAGACTGAAGTGAAGATATTTCCGGAGAATCTTTACAAGATGGGCTGGCGAGAGAGAGAGAAGAAAGCCCTGGGTCTGGTATAAGCTTCTTCTTTTTTTTTCTTTTTGAGTCACACCTAGAGATGCACAGGGGTTACTCCTGGCTCATGCACTCAGGAATTACTCCTGGCGGGCGGTACTCGGGGGACCATATAGGATGCTCGGAGTCAAACCTGGGTCAGCCACGTGCAAGGCAAACACCCTACCCGCTGTGCTATAGCTCCAGCTGGCATAAGCTTCTCGGTATTGTATGAGTCTCTCCATCTACCACTTCTGAGCCATCTTCTTTCTAGAGGACTAATGTTCCCATTCATGCTGCTTCCCAGCATAGAATGGGGATCCAAAGGTCCACTGGAAACTGGAAGTTAGCCCCTCTCGCTCACTGTTTCTCTTTCTCTTCTCTCTTCCCCTTGTTCACAAAGGCCCAGAACAGCTCTGGTACCATCACAAAGTATAGCCACATTAGCCTTTATCCCACTGCTGTGGTTATTCTAGCACTAGACCAAATCATTTCACTTTCTCTCCTCTCTCTAACTCTTCTTACCTAGAGATTTCATCCATTAAAGCCAAACTTCTTCATGTTTATTGTATTGTATCTTTACTGTTTTATTTTTCTTGTTCTTGGCAAATTATAGAAAAATGAATCATCTCTCTGGCATTAGTTCTTTCCATTGTCTTTTGGTTCTTCAGAGAATTTGGCTCCCATACTTAGCCTCATTTTCTTAAAACAATTTTTAAAAAGATTTTATTATTGAATCACTATGAGATAGATCTTTATAAAGCTGTTCATAATTTGGTTTCAGTAATATAGTGTTCCAACACCCATCCCTCCACCAGTGTACATTTCCCAACACCAGTATCCCCAGTTTTCCTCCCATTGCCTCCACCCAATCCCCCTCCAAATCATTTCTGTTACCCTGGATCATCGACTCAGCTCAGGAACAAGCAGAATTTTTCTTTATCCCCAAAGCATCCTCCTTTCATTCAGTTTTTCCATATTCTTCTTTGACCTGCTCCTACAGTGATGGGTCAGAAGCTGATTACTATCTGATCTTTTGAGCTCTTCTCATAGTATATAATCACAAAGACCCAAGCTCAGTTGGAAGCAAGGGTCAGGTAAATTTTCAAAGCAAAGAAATCTGGGCTAATTGTGCTTGAAAATGCAGTTTGGAACTGAGGCCAAAAAAAAGAGACCAATGGTACTTCTGAGATAAATGGGGTCCCTGGAATCTTTCCTCATTCAACCCAGGTGTAGTCAGAGAAAGCCAAGAACAAAGGGGCAGAGTTCTCATCCACCTAGGGAGTACTACCTGGCCAGTTCACACCCTAAGGATGGAAGCCAAGATCAATGCACCTCAAAACAGAATTCAGAAAATAAAATCTTTTCAATATCGAAAACCCAAAACACTGCCACTTTTTCTTTTTAACTTTGGAACATGCACATTTCCAAGTAGTCACATAATAAGATAAATGGGCAAAAGGAATTCAATATTTATGCCTTCTTTTCAACAACAATCTACATTTTACTGTTCTTGTTTCATTGATCCTGTCCCACATATATTGTGAGAATGTTGAAAAGGCAGTCCTAGGAAGTATGGTCATTTCAGCTATAAATGTCTCAAGATTGTTTCAGTATTAGCAACCATAAATGTCACTACTGTTGTAAATATATTACTTACAATGCAACAAAAATTAAACTAAATTTTAGAAAATAATGAAGCCAAGTTAAAATATATGAGTCTATAATGTTATCAATGATCCCATTACCTAAAAAGTGTCTTTTTACAGATAACATTTCAAATCATGCTCCAAACTAGGTCCATGTCTTATATTTAGTTAAGTCTATTGATTTTTTTTCCTGAATCTACTATATTTCCTTCTTTTATCTACTGGCATATTTTCGGAGGAGAGGTTGGGCTACAATCCAGTCCACTACAATCAAAGTCCACTCCTGGCTCTCTGCTTAGAAGTCAATCCAGGAAATGTTAGGGGCACCATATGCAGTGCTGGGGATTGAACCTGGGTTGGCCATAGCAAGGCAAGACCTCAAGTCCTATTCTATCTCTCTGGACCTTCCTATTGGTACTCTTTACTGAAGAGAGCAAGTTGTTGTTGGTCCTTAATTTTTGACCTTTGGTGTTTGTCACTTTGAATTCATTCAGCTGTTTATTATATTCTTCAATATTTCAGATCATATTCTTCTATAACCTATATTTGCAATTAATTTAGAGAACTGAAAGTTGAGTAGATATAGATTCCTTCCTTCCTTCCTTCCTTCCTTCCTGCCTGCCTGCCTGCCTGCCTGCCTGCCTGCCTGCCTGCCTGCCTGCCTGCCTTCCTTCCTTCCTTCCTTCCTTCCTTCCTTCCTTCCTTCCTTCCTTCCTTCCTTCCTTCCTGTCTGTCTTCCTTCCTTCCTGTCTGTCTGCCTGCCTGCCTTCCTTCCTTCCTTCCTTCCTTCCTTCCTTCCTTCCTTCCTTCCTTCCTCTCTCCCTCTCACTCTTTCTTCTCTCTTTCACCCATTTGATACCCCCAATGTTTTTCTTTTGGGCCGGAGCCATAGCATAGGTGTAGGGCATTTGCCTTGCACTCGGCCTACCTGGGTTCGATTCCTTTGTCCCTCTTGGAGAGCCTGGCAAGGTACTGAGAGTATCCCACTTGCACGGCAAAGCTTGGTAAGCTACCCGTGACATATTCGATATGCCAAAAACAGTAACAAGTCTCACAATGGAGACGTTACTGATGTCCACTAGAGAAAATCGATGAACAACGGGAGGACAGTGCTACAGTGCTACAATGACGGTTTTTCTTTTCTTTTTTTTCTTTTATCCTGTTTTTACAAAACATAAATTCCACTGATGAGGGATGGACTGTTCAATTGCCTCCTACCTTTATTTAATGAATAAGAATGAGTTTAATGATGCATCAGCCTGATACTCTTTCCCGAATTTCTCCAACCATCTCCACCTTCATAGCTGCTTTATAAGCATGTTGCTAAGTCAGAACATATCTCGGTCCCCTATGACTGACATAGAATGAGACAATCAGAATCAGAATGAAGTTTATTATCCAAATGGTTTCCTGGAACTGAATGCTTATTTTATTTTATTTATTATTATTATTTTTTTGCTCTTTAGGTCATACCCGGCAATGCACAGGGGTTACTCCTGGCTCTGCACTCAGGAATCACTCCTGGCAGTACTCAGGGGACCATATGGGATGCTGGGAATTGAGCCCAGGTTGGCCGCGTGCAAGATGCATGCAAGGCCCTACCCACTGTGCTATCGCTCCAGACCCCAGACCCCTGAATGCTTATTTTAAAGTCATGTACCTCTCCTCTACATTCTGGGTACCCTGTGGATTGACCTGCTGTTTGCCATTTTCCTCATGTGTATTAATCCAGTGATTTCTCTCCATATATATATATATATTTCTCTCCATATATATTTATGCATTTTGATTGAATGACCAAAGTTACATTCAAAAAGATCATTGAGGTTTATAATTTAATTGACTATGAAAATAAATTTGGGAATATATTTCTTTAAATTTTGGTGTTGGTTAGTATGCTCTTGGTTTGTATTTGTTTCTCTTGCTTTCAATGTATTTGTGCCTTGATAGTGAAAGTGGTTTCCTAGAGAGTCTAGGTCCAGCCCTGATTTCTACCCAACCAATAACCTCTACTTTTCAATTAGTGCACT